TCCTCAAAATGTTCCCAACTTTTTCAATGCTTTCTCTGCACCTCTCACTAATAACAATAACAATAGCAGCAACAACGGAAACATTGTACCAAGTTCTTTTACACATTGCTTTATTAACCCTCATGGCAACCTTAGGTCCTAGTATTATGTTTATTGTGGCAGGTGATTAAACTATGGCTCAAAGAAATTAAATAACTGATCCAAACTCATGTAGTTACTGAGAGATAGAGCAGATTTCTTGGGCTTTGGAACTGGGATTTGAATACAAGTCCAATGATATCAGAGCCTGAACTCTGAACCAATATGATAAATAATGAGTAGGCCCTAAAACAGGAGAGAAGGCACCACACTGGAGACAAATAATTCTCTCCTTTGTGTTCTGTAATGTAATGTAGTATAATACAACTTCTTGTTCCTCAATTTTGTAATATTGTATCTGTGCATGACTGTCCTCCTTAAATTGTGACGTTCCCTCTCCAACACATAAAATTTCTTGTCTTGTATGGCCAATGCTCAGTAACCAGCTATCATTTAGAAAACTTAAATAAACACATTCAAGAATATTAGCCTTGTTAAAAAAAAAAAAATTTATATAAAATAGAGTAACTTCGGAAACCACAATACTTCAATGAAAATGAAAGTTTGGAAACTGAAATAAATGAGTGGAAAAATTTAGCAGTCATGAGAAGTCTTTCTGGTATTTCTAAACTATGGTATCACGTACACCAGTGTCTCACACTTTATTGTAGACAGGAACAATAATCTCCAGATAGCTTCTAGTTCCTTGCTAATCAAAGTATATGGTCAAGGAGTTTCTTAGAATTGAAAAGTCTCATATACCTCTATAAAACTACTTAATCAGACACCACATACTAAAAAGATCATCAGGTCTTTAAATCCATCTTACGACAATTTTTTTTAAATTTGTAATAATAAAATACAATTATACATTTTTAAAAAGATGCTTTCAATTATTTCCCATAAAGTAGCATTGACTTTTTGTATCTAAAGAATGTATTTAAATTCTAAATTTTCTTTGAGAACACAGACATTTTTCTTATGAACGCTAATACATCTAAGGTAAATATTATTTTTTTTCAGCTTTAATTGAGTTTATTGGTACATTTTAGGGATACAGTACAGTTACATTCATTGTTGGGATCTTGTACCTCTACATGACAGGTCTTGGTTCTCATTTGTTCCCCTTGCCCCTGCCCTCCCTTCATCCCCTCCTCCCCTCCCCATCTACAAACACTTTATTTCCATCTTTTCATTACCTCACATTGTTTTTCTTTTCCCTTATTCCCTTTCCCCTACCCATCCCACCTTCCCTACACCTTTAGCTCCTTTCTTCCCATTTCTCAATGTCAGTAATCTTATTAGGATCTTCTGTATTATTGCAGATTATTCACACCAGAGAAACTATTCAGTATTTACACATGTGCCTTATTTATTTCACTTAGGAGTATATCTTCAATATCATATTATGAAGGACTGCAAATTATGAGGCATTTCTTGATAACACTACCATGTGACATAAAATTATTATCTTGTATTTATCACATTATGCCATATGTCTTATAACATAAATCAGAAAATATGTTTAAATTAAAATTTTATAATTATTTCAAGCTTTTTAAAGGAAACTGAAGGGCTAAGCTATAATAGGGAGAATACCATACTTTGGTAAAGAAATAAGAATCAGATAAATTAGCCGGGCATGGTGGTGCACGCCTGTTATCCCAGCACTCAGGAGGCTGAGGCAGAAGGATCGCTGTGAGTTCGAGACCAGCCTGGGCTACATAGTGAGTTCCAGGTCAGTCTCAACTACATAGTGAGACTCTATCTCAAAACCACCCTCCCAAAAAAAATTGAATCAGATAGATTATTTCTATCTTTGAAAGCTAGTAGAGATAAGAGAGCTAAAATATTAGTCACTGATTGTAGCACCCAGGTCTTTCCTGATGTATGCAGGTTTCTTGTAACATTATTTTTGTCTTTGTTTCTCCATTAGTATGTACCATCTACCTATTTCTTTTTTCTTGCACTTAATCTAACTCTATTTTTTTTAATTTTATTGAGTTTATTGGTACATTTTAGGGATACAGTACAGTTACATTCATTGTTGGGATAATGTACCTCTTTTTTTTTAATTTTATTGAGTTTATTGGTACATTTTAGAATCTAACTCTATTTTTAATAAACCTTTTAAAATGCAGTTTAATTAATCATGTTTTCTTGTTTGAACTCAGAATTATTTATTCATTGGCCGCTGAAAAGTTTATCACTTGAGATTATAAAAGTATCTGAATAAGTGTTAGAAGACTAATGCTTTTATGGTTCTATTTTTATATTTAAATCTTTGACTCATTTTTCATTTTTTGTAATGTAAAGTAAAAACTATGACTCCATGTTTTCTTCCTCAGAGTGACTACTTGGGTAATCCAACACTATTATTTAAATAGTATTTTATTTCCCATTAATGCAAGATGCCCTTTTTTGTTTTGTTTTGTTGTTGTTGTTTGTTTTTTGTTTCAAGACGGGGTCTCACCCTATTTCAGGCTGGCCTTGAACTCACTATGTAGCCCAGGCTGGCCTTGAACTTGCAGCAATCCTTCTGCCTCAGCCTCCCAAATGCTGGGACTATAGGCATGTGCCACTATGCCCAGCTCAAGATGTCACTTTTACAATCTACTACATTTTTGTATATATTTTAGTCCATTTCTAAGCTTTGTATTTTTACATTTATTTTTCTGACTCTTCGTGTGCCAGTACTATACTTTAAAAATTGTTTTAGCCTTATATTCTGACATCATTTACCTCATTACTTTTCTTTTCCAGTTTTTTTTAATATCCTATTTGTATATTTTTCTACATGAATTTTAGAACCATCTTGCCCTATTTTTAAAAAACCTGTTTGTATTTTGTTAAGATAATATTAATTTGTGTTAACCTAGGAAGAATTGATGACATTAGTGACTTTGGGCATTTCTTCCAAGATTTTGATATGCCAGGTTGTCTTTGTTGTTTGTTTGGGAGTTGGGGTTTTTGTTTTTTTGTTTTCATTTTGTTTTTTGAGACAGGGTCTCATTATGTAGTTCAGGTCAGACTTGAACTCTCTATGTAGTCCAGGCTGGCCAAGAACTCATGGCATTCCTCTTGCCTCAGCCTCCCAAGTGCTGAGATTGCAGGCATGGGCCACCACACCTGGCTTGATATGCCAGTTTTCTTGTTCCAGATTTTTCTTTAAAAGAAACACAAATCAAATAAAATATTTCCATACTTGAGATCGGTGAGCTAAAATATTAGGGACTGAGTGTAGCTGTAGCACCCAGATCTTTCTGTATTTTCATATAGCTTTTGTATGTGTCTTATTAAGTTTATTCCTAACATCTTTTTTTCTTTTTAAATGTAGTATTTTCTCTTTTTAAAATTAAGCTGCTAGGGCCAGGGATTTAGCTCAGTGGTTCTGCCACCTGTCTTGCAAGGTAAGGACCCAAATTCGATCCCCAGTAAAAAAAAAAAAAAAACAATTAAGCTGCTAATTTCCTATTTTAATTGTTTGCATTTACTTGTTTATTTGTTTATTTTGATGTTTTGAGACAGGGTCTCACCTTGTAGTTCAGGCTGGCCCAGACTCACTATGTAGCCCAGGGTAACCATGAATTCACAGCAATTTTCCTTCCTCAGCCCCCCAAGTACTGGGATTACAGGTGTGCACTACCACACCTGATCTATACATGTAATATTTTCTTTCATTGTCTTTTACAACTGTTTCTTAAAGCTTACAGTCACTTAATTATATTATTTCATTATTTATAATTGGAAAAACTTCATTGTCATGATTTTTATCATCATGTCTTCTATGATAAGGATAACTTCTTTTACTTACCCTTCCAACTTTTGTCTCTCATCAAAAAATGTCGTCAAGTATCTTGAGAACAACACTTAGCAATTGCTATATTGCTGTGATGCTGGAAATCCTTTTCTTGTCTTAACAGAAGTTGAATCTTATTAAATGAGCATGATTTAAAACTCTTGATTTTAAGTAACAGTAGCCAACTACAGCATGCTTAAGTGAAATTGAGGTAATTTAACAGAGATAAAAATTCAAAAGCAATAGAAACTAGTTCTGTCTTTGATCCTTGTCTTTTTTTCAGCTAGTTTTTGCTGCCACTTAGTCATATTGGAGGAAGAAGATGGTTCAGTCATAGTGCTAGTTCCGTTTTACTGTTGAAACTCAAGATTTTGTTCATAAGTTAAAACTAAAATTCCAGTCGTAACCCAAGTTGTTCACATCAGGCCGGTCATAACTCAAGGGACAGCTTCATTTGCCTACACATTCATCTCCCCTGTGCAAGTGAGTATTATTCTGTATCCCATGGCAGGATTAGAAATACTGCCAGAGAATAAGTACACAAAGTTGTTATGGAAACCAGAATACTTTAGCTCAGAGTTATTTACAGAGAATTTTCACGCTTAACTCATTCAATATAATCAACTCTGCTTTGTTTCACCTTATGCCAGTGTACACAATCAAAGGTCTATTTTCAAGGGTTCTCCAACCAGCTGTACCTGAGTATACATAAATTCACAAATAAGGAGACAATGATCACATCACCAAAGAGTAATTTATGTGTAGAGTTTTTGTATTACATGTTTGAAGCTTGTTCACACTTGCCTCACCCGTTGTCAAGTATGCCTGTTTCTGTAATATAATCACAACGTGGCTGTGACTACTGCCTTCAGCAGAGAAACATTGCCTCCAGCACAGCTGCTGCCTGTGTTGCCCAATCCTACGACGCTGTGGGCTCAGGCTTTCACATTCTCTCAACTCGCCTCTGAGGTTAGATGGTGACAGCAGCCCCTGACCATCAACTTTGTCCTCAGTTGTGCGTGGGAACTTTCCCAGCTATCTATCCAGCAGGATCTTTGAAAAAACGATCTCCTTTTTCTTTTCCTTTTTTTAATGTTCTGTTTTGTTTTTGAGGAGATACATGATGAGGATTTTCATAGCTTTTGAAGGATCGTTTGAACCATTTGATGTTTCAGCTGATGAAAGCGTGGAAGCTGTCAAGTTGATGATAAAGGTATGTACTTTGTCGTTGCACCACCAAAGTATATATTCACTTTCATTATTCATTGTAGTTTAAAATGTACAGAGGGTAGAGATACTATGGGATATATTTTCAGACACAGGAAACTGAAGCTATTTGAAAATAGTACTATTTGTTTACACAATAGACTGATTAGGAGAGTATAACTTTAGAAGTATTGGACAAGAAACCAAACTGGACCAGTAAAGTCTCAGGGAGAAAAACATTTTGTTTCTCTGTAGGATTTTGTGGGATGCACGTGAGTCATGTCATATCACTATAATTCTTCATAAAAGGACAAAAATGGAACTCTAACTTTAGGCCACGCAAGTGGAATGTGCCTGTTGTCCAGTAGATGCCTTGTTTGGTAAGCAAGCAAAGATAAAGACCCAAAGGGTTCTGGAGCCAGAGAGCACTTGAACAATCTTGTGGGCTGCCACTTCATTCTGAATTCAGAGAAAGCTGAAGCTCGGAGATGCTACCTTATCGAGGACCACAACTCCGTAATAGGGAGCAATTTGATTGAGTGCAACAACGTCATTATCAATTTCTTAAAATCATTCAATGCAAAATGAAAAATAAAGCAAAATATTTACTTCCTGACTACCAGTGATTTAACTTGGAAGTAGTCATTCCCGTTTACTAAGGAGCATGCATTGAGCCTCAGTTACATGCTATCTGGTAGTTACTATAATATCAGCCTAATACGGGGACCTTAACCTTGTGTGTCATGGATCCTTTTGGAAGTCTAGCGAAGCCTGTGAACCATTTCTCAGAATGCCCTTAAATGCACACAATAAAATATGTATGATAAAAGGATAGCAGTTATATTGAAATATAATTTCCAAATAATAAAAATCAAAGTTGTGATACACATAGTAGTATTATCATAGGGCTTTTTTATCTTTTCTGCCATAGGGCTTTTTAAATTAGCATGGTAACACGTTTTAGCAGTACACTTAATAGCTACTGTACTTTCAAAGTAATGGTCAGTATAAATAATATTTTGAGATATCTTCAATAACAGTAATGTGACATAAAAAATACCTGTGTTTCTCATTGGTACAGCTTACTATTGTGACTTCAGTTTGATACTTTCAAGAAAAATCTTAATTTCATTTAGAGTTAATGAAAATGAATATGTAGGGTTTTTTTTCTACCTAAGTAAATTCTGTCCATCAAATTTTTGGGAAGTCTACAGATCCCAGGTTAATAATATTATTTAATATTGCTTCCTTTCACTTTGTTCCAAAATTATTATAACAATCAGGGGAAAAGGGGAGCAGATTGACTGATTTCTGGTGTAGTAATATGGAGATGTACTATTTTCATAATGCCCCATTCACCTTTAAGGATTATTTCCACATTCCTCTCTCTGAAGACAAACAAGGCAGACGATATCTGGAGTTAGTGTATGCTGGAGCTGCCCTAAGGAACAGTTGGTGTCTTGCTGATGTTGGAATATCTTTCTGTTCGACTCTCAAATGCTTTGTTAAGGTATGATGATCAGAATAATATTTGTCCAAGATGTCTATCTCACTTTGAATTAATTTGTGGATAACCCAACTGAAGCAATTTCATGACTTAGAAGTTTACTTTCTTGCCTTCTCTCTTCCACTTGAAAAACTACTTTTACGCATGCTTTGTGCTATAAGGGGAAGTAAGATGTGAAGACTGGACATGATTTCCCCTTGTCCATGCCTTCTCTCTCTCCGTTCCCAATTTACTATGCTTCCTGGCCCATGCTGTCTGTCATCACAGAGCCCATCACAAACCAATATTAGAACAAGGACAAGGGCAGATCTGAAATATTGAAATGAAAAGAAAAGGACTAGGTCACTTCTATGAGACTAAAATGATTGGGGGCAGTAGTGTGAGAAAGGAGAAGAAATTTTTAGTAATAATAAGAATAATGGGGTACTTTCAGCACCTGAATCTAGCCAAAGTAGCTATCTAAATTAGGTACACATACAATGAAGATGGCTTTTTCCATTTATAGAGTGTCCCTAATCCATGGTATATAACTTGAGGTCTGTGGGTGGGCTTTAAGAACTCTACATAAGAACCCCAAAATTGTAAAATATACAAAATTATGTGCCTACATATTTTCTGGGGCCATTATCTTTAACTTGCAACCATTCTTTCCAATTTTGTTTGGATATGTTATGCTTTGTCATTTGATTCTAGAAACTTTTATTTCTTCCCTGACTTCTTCTGTCGTTAATTGACTATTCAGTAACATTATTTAAATGTCATGAGTTTATGTAGTTTCTGTGGCTTCTTTACCTGTTGATCTCTAGCTTCATTCCACTGTGATCCAATAGTACGCAACGGAGTATTCCACTTCTTTTGTATTTAGTTAAGCATATTTTATGGCCTAAGATAGGGTCTCTTTTGGAAAATGTTCCATGTGCTTTTGAGAAAATTAGTATTCTGCTGTTGGATGAAACACTCTATAGGTATCTATTAAGTTCATGTGTTCAATGAGGTGGTTTAACTCTGATGTTTCTTTGTGGATTTTTTTTCTGATTGACCTCTCCAGTTGTGAGAGTGGTATTGAAGTCCACCACAGTACCCTGTCTGTCTTACTAAGTTTAGTAGTTTTTGTTTTATTGAATTGGGTGCACTAACATTTGGTGCAGATATTTACAATTGTTCTCATCTTGTGGAATTATCCCCTTTACCAGTATGCACTGGCTGTCTTTGTCCCTTCTGATTAGTGTCAGCTTGAAGTCTGATGTGTCTAAAAATAAGGTAGCTACTCTAGCTTGTTTTCAGGCTCCAATTAATGGAGTGTTGTTTTCATGTTTTCACTTTCAGTCTATGTAGCTCGTTTTGGATGAGGTGTGTCTCTTGTAGGCATTTTTAGTCCAATCTCTCAGCCTGTGTCTTTTGATTGAGAAGTTGGGAGCACAGACTTTGAGAGTTATTATTATGAAGTGTTTATTGAATCCTGTCATTGCATTATTTTCACAGTGTTTATTGGTTTATTTTTTTCCCCTTTTAAGTACTTTTCCAGCTGGATGTATTTCTTTGGACTCTTTGATGCTGGTGGTCTCCCTATTTCTGTCTAGAATTCCAAAATCTTTACTTCTCTGTCAATTTTGAAGGGTAATTTTACGGGATACAAAAGTCTTGCTTGGTAATTGTTTTATTTTAGGCCTGAAAAAACTTCACTCCAGGTTCTCCTGGCCATTGTGGTAAAAAAAACCCACAGTTATTCTGATGAATTTACCTTTAAGGGTTACTTGCTGGTTTTCTCTAACAGTTTTTAATGTTCCTTTCTTTTGCTGAATTTCTGGAATTTTGATTCTGATGCGTCTTAGGGAGGTTCTTTTCTGGTCATGCTGCTCGGGGTTCCATATGCCTTTGGAACTTGAATGTTGAATTCTTGATCTAGATTTAGAAATGTTTCTGCTATGATTTCAGTAAATAAATTTTTATACCTTTTGGGTCACTTCTAATTTTTCTTTAATTCCTATAATTTTGAGGTTGAGGTTGTTTTTTTCTTTGTTGTTTGTTTGTTTGTTTGGAGTCATCTGTTGGATCCAGCTTAATGATGTCTTGTCATTATTAGTGTATCATTGAATCCATGCTGTACTATATCCAGCTTTTCTTCTGTTCCATACGCTCTGTCTTCACATGTTCAAGTCTGCTACTTATGCTTTCAGTTGAATTTTTCTTATCCTCAATCTCTGCTTGCTTTCTTTTCATACTAATTCTTTTCTGAAGTGGTTATTTATGTTTTGTATTGTCTTGCTCAACTCAATTAGTTTATTGTTTGTTTCTTCTTTAGGTTCATCAAATATTTTATTAATAAAATCCTTTATGTGTTTACTTAAACCCTCTTTGAGCTCATTAAATATCTTAGGCATATGTTTATACGTTTCTTCTTATATCTCTTCAAAAATGTTGACCATTTGATTTTTGAGCTCTTTACCTGTGGTTTCTTCTAGCTCAGTGTTGGTAAGATCAGCTTTGGGATAGTTAGGGGTTTGGGGGAGCATCTTGTTGCCTTATTTTCTCATGTTTCTGTTGTTTTTTCTCTGTGCATTGAAGATCAGTTAGGGCCGAGAAACTCTGTCACTAAACTCTCTACTGGGCAGCCGAGTAACAGCAAGCGTGGCCAAGAAAGCCACTAGACAATGTCAGCACTTTCAGACCCAGTCCCCTCAGAAAATCACATGACTGGCCTGGCTTCCAACCACAGAAGATGAGACCACTGTGTCCTTTGCAGTCTGAGATTGCTGCTGTTTAACTTCTCAGAGGGTCTATGTCCTGCCCACCCTCTCTGTAGCTGTTTCTTATGATTGTCTCCCACCCAAGTCATTGTAGTAGGGTGATACCCCAAAACCTGAAGTTGTTCAGTCACAAAAAATAAGCTTCCCAAAATGGCTTTTGATTGGAACATCCCAATTATGGTAGATGCTGAAGGAATTTTCTTCTCCAATTTCAGCTTGCCATGAGGAAGGCGTCACTGTCAGAGTAAACCCTTATGCTGGGGGTTCCTGATGCTTCTTTCTACTCTCTGTGCTGTCTTCAGTTTCTCGTTTGTCTATAGTTCTGGTTTCCCTGTCAGCACTTTCTTGATTCTTGGAACTCTACTTCTCTTTTTGCTAAATTGATGTTTTCTGGGTATCTCTAGGCATTTTGCTACTGTCATTTCTCTACTGTTTTTAATCAGCTCTACGTGAGATAATCTCAAACCTCTTGAAACCATTTTTCTCAAGTGATCCGAAGAAATGAAGAGCTGCTGCTATAGGATAAAAGCATTACTATGTATTGTGGGGTCTTTTTTCTAACATCACATGAATGCATGAGCTGTAAATAACTTAGTAAAGTATACATGCCTATTAAATGGGACAATTATTTTCTCATTTTAGCATTAGAAATCTTTGTGATAGTCAAAATTAACTCCTTTAATATGGTTTAGTGATTCCTAAATGGATATTTTAAAGAAATGTTCTCTGATATTAAGTAGTAAAGACAAGTTACAAAATAATAAGCGTTGCATGATCCTATTTACATAAGCAAATACCATATTTATATATATATTTTAATCTTTTATAGACATTCATGTACTGTTTGTATTGTGTTACTTTTTTTTTTTGGCGGTACTGGGTATTGAACTCAGGACCTTGTGCTTGTGAGGCAGGCATGGCACCACTGAGCTAAATCCCCAGCTCCTATTTTGTGTTCTTGAAGAATGTTTAATTATCAAAAAATGAAATGAAAGTAACTGATTTTTTTCTCATTTTCTGCCTACTCATTTTCTACTCAGAAAATAACCAAATTCTATGTTCCTTCCTAAATGCTTTCGCTTTATGTAAATATATTTACCTATTATGTTCTTGGTATTGTATAGGATAAACCCTCTAATAATTTCTAAAGCTATCCAAAGTCAATGATAAAGTTCAAGTTTTTTATTGTTTGCTTTCTTAGAGATAATGATATAAATTCAGTACTAACATTTGAACTGGTTGGAGAAATTTAATGACTGTCATGAATATAGATAACGTATATTAGGAGTACTGTCATTTAACTAAGGACTATGTTATTATTTAAAATAAAAATTTTACTTATGTTTGACTAGTTAGTATATCTGCATGATCTCATTTCAAAAGGTAAAAAGAGGGCCAGGGATTTTACTCAGTGGTTCCGCCGCCTGCCTCGCAAGCACAAGTTCAATCCCCAGTACCAAAAAAAAAAGTTTCAAAAGGTAAAAAGAAATAAACAGTAAAATGCTTCTCACCCCTGGCCTCTAATTTCCTTCCCTGGGGATAACATATGTTCATAGTTTTACTTTTAAAACATATCGTACATTTTTCTAATTAAGCTTTATACACCACAGTGATACAAGCTTTGAACTGAACTTTTACCTGAAATTTTATTTTTTTTTAAATTTAATTTATTGGTACATTCTAGGTAGACAGTACAGTTACATTCATTACTGGGATCTTGTACATTTACATGCCAGGTCTTGGTTACCTGAAATTTTATTTTTTTTTAAATTTAATTTATTGGTACAATCTAGGTAGACAGTACAGTTACATTCATTACTGGGATCTTGTACATTTACATGCCAGGTCTTGGTTACCTGAAATTTTATTTTTTTTTAAATTTAATTTATTGGTACAATCTAGGTAGACAGTACAGTTACATTCATTACTGGGATCTTGTACATTTACATGCCAGGTCTTGGTTACCTGAAATTTTAAAATGCTAATGATGCAAAGAGAATAAAGAGGTAAAAGAGTTAGTTCTGAAGAACTAAGGCAAAATATAGTTATGAGTCTCGGGTGGCCAACACACAGGATTTAACTGAAAACTCTCAAATTCCATGGGAATCTTATTGATCTCTAATTTGCTCTATTCAATAGAATCATATTTAGATAATTGCTACCACTAATTTTAAAAAGGACATATGCACTTTAATCTGAAGGGAGAGAATGTTGATTTCTGTGCAATTTAGTTCCTGTTTAGGTTAGATAATAAAGCAGTGCTAATTCCAAAAGTCCACAGTATTCACCCTACATATTCACCCCATATACCATTTATACCATGATAATAGTCAAATATGGTCTTTCAATGAGAAAAAGTCTTCATGAAAATATTCCAAATATTTAATTGCCTTAAATAATGGAATCATACTACCTCTACGCCGTTTGTATTATAAACCTGTGGCAGGAAGGAGCTCCTGGGGGAAGCCAGAAAAGAATTTTGAAATCAAGTCATATTGACAGTGAAGAATATAGAATAATTAGTAAAACTTTCCTCCCACCCTCTACTCAGTTCCACTCCCAGTTAAATTCCCAGAAAGAATTTCTTTTAATGACCAATGTTGAGAATCCACAGTATTTCAAATTAAAGTGCAGCAAAATAGAAGGGTTTTCTAAACTAACACCTAAGGAGAGCACAGACACAAAACTGTCAACTTTTCCCTTATGTATCTGCATCTGTAGAACAAGAAGCAAAAAAATTTGGGAGGCTGAGACAGAAAGTTTATGAGTTTGAGGTCAGCCTGGGCTACACAGGGAATTCAGGGACAGCCTAAACAACAATATCCGTAATCCCAGCACTCTGAGAGAGAGGCTGAGGCAGGAAGATTGCAAATTTGACTTAAGCCTGGGCAGTTTATCAATTTAGTGAGACTCTGTCAATAAAAGAGATAGATAGATAGGTAGATAGATAGATAGACAGATAGAGAGGGCAGGAAAATATGGGGAAAACAAGAGGAGGAAGGCATGTATGGGAGGAGGCGGGGTGGGAGGAGAGCAGGAAACGTCTCAGAACCTTGTGGAGTCTCCTTTACTTCACTCAAAGCGTGAGGAATCAGTGTCCTCGGGACAGAGGAGCAAGACTAAGAGCAGCAGTCGGCGCTAAACTAGCCTTTGCTCTCACCTTTTGCAGCCCCATTGGGAGTTGGAGGCACTCAGAGCACCCTCTGAAATATTTGTCTCCCATCCCGACCTGCAGACACTAAGTGCCCTGCTTTTCTCCCTGCTTAGGAAGAAGACAAGCCTACTCTCTACGTGTTCAACGCTGTAACCCGGGAGACAATGCCAATATTCGAGAGCACCTCCCTTCTTGGTAAAAAAGTGTCTGACCTGAGAACACTGGTCACTCTGAGATGTGGCTTCCCTGTGAGTGTCTACTGTCTCCGGACCCCCGCGGGACAGGACATGTATGACTGCAACGCACTCGGGGACTACCACACCGACCTGGGTACTGTCTGCTACGCTGGACGACAGCTGCTACTCAGCACCAGGTTTCTCTCGTACCAGGTTTTGCGGCGTGTCGTGAAAAAAAACACAAAAAATAGAAATCTAGAATAGAAATGCAGTCTGCTAACTTTATTCACTTATTTATTTTAAAGCATTTAATATATTTGCATGGTTTAAAATATCAGAAGTGGAAGATTAGTGATAAGTCACCCTGTTTCCCACGCTGCAAGCACTCAGCTCCCTGTCTGAAGGCAACCACCCTTATTAGGAAGATTTAGAAGCAAAAGTGTTTCCAAACGAAGGCACAACAAAAGAAAAAGCTGTTTCCAGCCGGGCGTGGTGGCGCACGCTTGTAATCCCAGCACTTGGGAGGCTGAGGCAGGAGGATCCCTGTGAGTTCGAGACCAGCCTGGGCTACATAGTGAGTTCCAGGTCAGTCTCAACTACATAGTGAGACCCTGTCTCAAAAAACCAAAAAAAAAAAGAAAGAAAAAGCTGTTTCTAACTGAAACTGCTTGCTGTAAGCACAAATTTTCAACACTGCTCTTATGTCTGGTTCTGTAGACTAAGAAATAATAATAATAATATTTAATAATAGCCCTGCAGAGTCTTATTAGAGCAGGATTTGTTAACATCCTCAGGATAGAAGAGCAAAAGTCAGACCACTTTATTGTTTGCTCTTTCAAATTATATTTCCATCTCATTTAGAAGTAAATTTAAGTACCCTTTTCCCCCTTTTAATGCAAGTGGTGGTATATAATATACCCCATTTCTGAACTTTGCTTTGTGGAATCTCATTTTAAAATGTTGCCAGTTAGAATAAAACAATTTTATCTGTGGTAGGGTAGAAATCTGGGGCCTTCCCAAAAAACTACATTTCCAGCCACTTTTTGAATTTTGAGATAGGGTCTCTCTAAATCACTAAATTGCCCAGGTTGGACTTGAACTTGTGATTTTCCTGCCTCAGCCTCCCAGAGTACTGAGATTCCATGTATACACCGTGAAGCTTGGCTGAACAACTGTTTTAACAGTGCGACACCAATAATGTGCAGGATGAAAAATTGCTTTCACAGGCTGGCACTTACCCAGATAGAATAGGGCAGTGGTGGTGAACTTATGGCACAGGTTTTATTGCAGTTTCCTTTGAAGAAGAAAGATGTTAGGGTATGAGTTTTTTTTTCTACACTGAAACTCCAGTATTCACGTTTAATTTTAATGTTGGAACTTTGCGAAAAATAACTGAGCTTTGGGTTGCAGTGTGGCCCTCAATCTCTAAAAGTTTCACCATTGCTGGATCAGAGCTTCTCCTTAAATACTGTATGTACATCCAGGCCCTGTGTTCTGGAGCCAAACATAAATAAAACACCCAGTTTGTCAGATTTGTTTTGACCATATTAGAAAACGATTCAAACCTCAGCGAGATGATGGCTTGAGGTAAATGTGTACTTGCTGGCAGCACCTCTTTAGGTAAGGTTGTGCTGTAATGTTTGTTGCAATAGAGTTTCAATTCTCCCAACATTTATTTGGGACTTTATAGGCAAACCTGCATTGTATAGTTTTGATTTTTATCACTGCTAAGTTTGCCACTTCCTGATTCTTTTCCTGACTATTGTATTTGCCTAGCATCATTCTTTCGTGTCATTTTAAATTGAGGCTCTTTGAAACCAGTTATTGCACCCCACTTTTTTTTTCCAGGCAAGGTCTTGCTATGTAGTTCAGGCTAGTCTTGAACTCACTATGTTCGGACTGGCCTCAAACTCGCAGCAATCCCTTTGTCTCGGCCTCCCTGTGATGGGCTAACAGCTGTGCACCCCCAGCTTGCCACTGCTCCCATTTTTTTGTCAGAGAAAATGAAGTTGTGGGACTTGTCCTCCGTGCACTTCTCTGTAAAGCACATGCCTGCTCTGTGGACTTGCTAGAGGCTAAAGTCTGCCTGGGATGCGACAAGGGCTTACGTGAGGAAGCATAACCAGGGGTACTTGTGTCCAACCAACTGATGATTTAGCTATTTGATGAAATAAGAGAAATCAAAACGAGGACGAACTCTGGATGACTGCTCTTTCGTTCTCCACTGCTCAGATTATGATGTGACGTCGCAGAGCTAGAAAAGAATTTTGAAGTGTTTTGGCCCAATCTCACTTTCTAAAGATTAAAAGAACAAAAAAGTTTCTGGCTGGTTACCTGGCTCACCGAAAACGTGTTAAGGATAACACAGCACCCTTTCACATAAGCCTCTTGGAGTAGGAGATGGAGGGGAAGATTATCAGATATAACTTTCGAAGCCAGCCCGAGTGGCTTGGGAGATTGCTTCGGCTGCCCTGGGGAAATGGGACATTAGAGAACAGGCGTCCTGAAGGACAGAAGCGTCCTGAAGGCCCCGTCTATTCTTCCAGAAGGCGAAGGAATTCATGATCAGCTTCTCTTTCAGGTGTTCCCCTTTCTACTGAATGAGGCGACCCCGTTACTATCACCTGTTAGACTTTGACCCCTTCTCTAAAGCAGTGGAAAATCAGAAATCTTTGGAGAAGTGGTCAAGTCCAAATTGACGGCTCGTGCAAAATATATGAAGCTGCCTCTGCATTCCTTGACTGGTAGAAACGAAGCAGATACACATACTCACTTAACCCTCAGGAAACCAGCTCACAGTGGGCTGCAGAGATCAAGGGGTGGCAGTCTGGGGAACACGGGGCTGGAGTCCGCAAAGATGTAGGAACCGAAGAGGAACAGAAGCCATACCAAGCTTCCAGAGCAGAAGGACACTGCCATAGCTTGATGAACACGGCTTGTTCCACAAGGGACAGAACACAGATGTCCCTGAAGGGTACAGGAGCCTCACTTCGAGCACCAGGGAGCAGAGCTAAAGGCAGATTGAGGAGAAAGCTAATCTGGTAGTAAATGGTGTAAGATATAAAATGGAACGAGGGAGGCAAAATAAACAGAGTAAGATGCTAACCAGAATTTACAATTATTTCAGCATTAAGTAATTCCACTAATAATGGAGGAGATGAATAGGGGAAATCCAGGAAAAACAAACGGAAAGTCGTGCTAGATCACACAGTGCTAAAGAAAGCGGGACAAGATGTTGTGCTTTGGGTCCCAAGCTTTAGATTTGAGGAAATTCAGAGACTGTTATATTAAGTGACTCAACTAGTCAGCAGCAGCTCAGACCTCGGAATCAAGGCTGGTTGCAGGATACCTCTACCAGGCCCTTGGAGACCTCCTGGCCATTTTATTTCCTTTATTGGTAAGAAAACTGAGACACGGAGAAGCTAAGCAAACTGATCCAGGTCATACTGCCAGCAAACAGTAATCACACCCACAACTGAGCTCTCTCCGGCAATTTCTATTGCCATACCAGCCCGCCTTTATTGATTCCTTTTAGTTCTGATCAATGTATTATTTTGTTTCCCCTGACAAGTAAAGTTCAAGCCAAAGAAACTGACTTCCATAGTTAGAAATAAGAAGCCCAAGTCAAACAGACAGATACTAACCCCTAGGAAGTACAAATGAGAAATCCAGAGCGAGGAGAGTAGGGTACATGCGGGAAAAGGAGAGGAGAATTGCCTACTGTTGCTCTCATTTGTTTTCTGATGTGGCCTGACATGGTGGGTAGGTTTGCAAGCATAGAGTAGGCAGGTGCAAGCCTGGAAAGCTCATACAATTTTGCCACCCCCTTTTTTAAAAGTCAGAAATGAAGAATAGAGAATTAGGAGATTCAGGGCCCCCGAAATTTAAGTCTCATTAGTTTTCTTTGTTCAGTGATAAGGTTGTGTCGTATTTTCTGGGGCAAGATAGCATTTTTCAAGTAAATTTCTATTTTCCAAAAGAATGTCTGAGCTTATGAAGGAATTGACCATGTGCCAAATAGTCATAAATAATGATGCACGCCTGTAATCGCAAGCACGCAGGAGGCTGAGGCAGGAGGATCACTGTGACTTTAAAGCCAGCTTGGGCTCCATAGTGAGTTCAAGAGCTGCCTGAACTGCAGAGTGAGACCCTGTCTCAAATAAATAAACAGATTGATAACAGATTGGATAACAAATAAGACATTAAAAACCAATAAGGATGGGAGGATTAGCCACTAAATAGTACTTTCTGTGTTATTTATATATTCTCTGGATTTTCAAAAATTAGGCCTTACAAGAAAAACCATCCATTATTATCTTTGTTCTTTGAAAATTAGGACTGCTTTATTGCAAGAAAGTGAACTAACAGTTATAATACCTATAGTTACTAAAAGACAGGAAATTACAGTAGAATAAAATACAGGCCCGGAGGGAGGGCCCTCTGTTGTTAAGGAGGATCGAGCTAGGGACCACTGAGACCCTACGGCTATGGGCCAGGAAAATCTCACCTGAAGACAACTAGAGGGAAGGTAGCCTTAAATAAGTCCTATTGGCGGGGGGTCCCAGAGTAGATGAGTCAGCTTGCAATTGACAACTGGCAAAGCCAAGTCAATCAGAAAGGTGTCGTAAAGTAGGGTGGGGTCGCAGCAAGCCAGGGCTGCGCGAACGCCAAAGTTGTTATAGAAGTGAAACCATGAGAAAGCAGAGTCAGTCCGACAGCAGAGAGAAGGGACGACGTACTAAGAGACGCAGGGTGCGAGGTCCTGAGCCATGGGAGAGGAGGGGACTGGCTCAGTCCCTGCTGCGGTTTATATCTAGAAGGCCCCCAGACCCTCATGGGATCGCAGGCTGGCCCTTTGGAAGATGACTGGATCAGGGAGCTCCAGGGTGGTTAACTTGCTGTTAGGAGGGGACCTGGTTGGAAGAGGCAGGGCACTGTGGATGTGACTGAAGGTTGTGGCTCCCTTGCTGGCTCCTCCTTTGACGCTCTCTGCATCCTGTCTACCACGCTGTGCGCAGCTCTCCTTTGTCACGCTGCTCGGCCAAACCACCTTGCCTTGGAATCAGCTGATTATGGACTGAAACCTCTACAAACTGTGAGCCGAAATGAACCTCTCTTCCCTTAATTTGAAGGTGCTGGGTATTGTGTCACAGTGATAATAAATTGGTTATAGTAGTTTTTAACACAGACCAGGTCTTATCTTTCTATATAATAAACCCCATTCTCCTGAGCGACCTTTCCCGTCTAGGGCGAGACTAAACAGAGCCCACAGGACTGGATGAGAGAAGGGGCAGGGGATTTAGCTCAGTGGTGCCACCTCCTGCCTCACAAGTGCAAGGACCTGAGTTCAATCCCTGGTACAAAAAAAAAAAAAAAGACTGCATGAAAGAACTTTATTAGTGTTTGCAAACTGGCAATTCTAAAGTAGCAATGTACCTTCAACGACAAAGCAGTCAACACATATGTGGAAGCCAGAGGAAAAGCACTTTAACTTATTTAGAACGGAAAGGGGTGGTTATAGCCAAGAAGAGCTTTTCAGAGGAAGTGTTGAAAGAGTTGCATCATAAGCTGTTAGTAAACAAGTATGGGGAAGGGGGACAAGGAATTCAGACAAAATTGGCACCAAAAGAAGACCCACCAAGACCAGAAACAACCTGTGTGTGCACAGAAGTGCAGGCCAACCTGCTGGGATAGGAGGGAAGCAGCCAGCCAGAGGAGCTTGGGGCAGGGCAGAACTGGTGAGCTCCACCACCAGCCAGGAGGAACTACTACAGAAAGCAAGCATAGTGGAAATGTCCCTTTTCTCTTGGAACTTGAATTTCATGAGGAAGGAAAGCACCTTCTAGAAGACAGAAAAATGTCTAATTTTTATTTTTATTTATTCATTTTTTTTGAGACAGGGACTCACTACGTAGTTGAGACTGATCTGGGACTCACTGTGTAGCCCAGGCTGGTCTCGAACTCACAGCGATCCTCCTGCCTCTGCCTCCCAAGGGCTGGGATTACAGATGTGCACCACCACACCTGGCAAAGAATGTCTAATTTTAAACAGAGATAAGAACTGTGGAGCGAAGAAAATCTGAACAAGCGAATACAAATTAACATAGTAAAGAAGGAAAAAGCTGTCTTAAAAAGTCTGTGGGAAAAGGGGATGACATTTAAACAAAAACCTGAACAAAGACAAGAGGGAGATGCTGAGAACTTTTCAAAGTAGATTTAGGTGAGAGATCGTCTATGCCTAAAATAGAACAGGGATGGTGAAGCAAGCAGGAAAGCAGAGTTCTTCAATATTTATGATGCAAACTTGTCAGACATGAGCAGTTATTTAGAGGTAGGGCATGAAAAAACAGGAAAGATGAAAAGCATCTCCCAGGAGTAGGATATTAAGAAAACAGGAAAGATGGAAAATTTGAGGAGTTTCTCGCTTGGATTGGAAGAAGGACAGATGTACCACAAGAGAAAGAATACAGAAAGAAAACTCCATTGGGAATGAGAGGTGACAGAAGTTGTCATTTAGGACGAAGAGTTGTAGCACAATCTCAACACGGAGGGTCTGGAGCTGGAACAGAGACCTACCCTGGAGACTGGGCTTGGAAGCAAGCAGCACATGGATGGTCATTGACGTTAGTGTCATGGAGACTTCAGTTAATTGGCCAAAAAGTACTTAATGAGCATTACCAAGGCCCAGGATGTTTGGCAAGTCCTGAAGGAACTTTTTTTCTTCTTCTTGCATGCATTAAAAAAAATCTCCAAACCAGTAAGATGACTTCAAGTACTGATGGTAGGGGATTTGAAGACGTTAAATGAGGTCAGTAGAAAAGGGGTAATGAAGGGGAGGAGGTGGTGATGGCAGCGATTGTTTCAGCTGTGGTAGCCACGAGAGATCCTCCACGATGACACGGTGTTTGGGTTGAAGGCTGCATAGAAAGGACTCAGCCTTGGGAAAATCTGGACGAAGAGCTCTTTAAGCTAGAGAAATCTTAAGATGCTAGCACCTGAGATAGGAGTGGACTTTATTGTTGGAGGACAGCTGAAAGGTCAAGGTGACCAGAATGTAGGGTATGAGGCAAAGTGGAGGGGAGTAAAACAACGGGGGGGGTGCAAGATAGGGAGTGTGGCTTTCTTCAGGAAGCAGTGTGCAGAGCAAGAAGATCAGAAGGCCGGGGAAAGATTCCTGAAAAACACCAGACAAAGGGAGTGAGACATTTTAGAAGCCAGGCAAGGGTAGACCTTTGAGAGGCTAGTGATAAATCCTTCAGCAGCAGGGAATTACTTTTGTGGTCATGAAACAGAATAGCCTCTCTTTCATGAAGAATAGAATTAGTAGACTCTTGGAAGCATTCCTTTGAGAGGCTAGTGATAAATCCTTCAGCAGCAGGGAATTACTTTTGTGGTCATGAAACAGAATAGCCTCTCTTTCATGAAGAATAGAATTAGTAGACTCACTTGGAAGCATCACTCAGTTTCATCACAGTTCACTCATAAGCTAAGGCTTATTTGCCATTTGCCTGCCGGTTCAGTTTCTTCTTCCAATACAGTGACTTTAGCTTACATGGTAACATAGATATCAGCACTGAATCGGTATCCGCAGGACTCTTTCAAAATAGCTGCAAAAGACGTTGCAGCATTATACGCACTCACTGAAGAGAGGAAAAAATGGAAGTTACAGAAGTTAAGTGGACTTTCTAAGCCAATAAATCCCTAAACTAAAAAAGTGGCCCTCTATCCTTATTCCAAGAACAGTTTTTCATTGTGTATCCAGCTCAAACTTCAGTTTGGGGAAAGCTATCACTAGAAGTTTTAGGGATTACCAAACCACAGTGATAAGGCTAGAACCATAAACTTCCTGTCTTTTTCCACAGGTACAACACTTCGTTTGGATGTCTGGGATGGATGGAAGGAATTTCTGATGGGCTGTCTCCTTGGGCAAAAACTTAAAGTCCAACGATATTTATCAAAAGAAGGACCAGTACTCAAGTACGGGAGATAACCTAAATGATGAATTAATTTAAGGCACCATCAGACCTTGAGCCTGCCATTCACTCTATAGCTGAGATGCGTCCCCATGCCAGGTCCACGCTGCATGAACAAACAGACAATATTGAGATATCTTCTGGAGCAAGACAGCAGAGATACCACCAGGGCCAATAGTCCTTTGATGATAGGTTATAATTCAAGTAGTCTTTCCTCTGGAAATACTAATTAAATAGGTGACTTCAATTGGTCAGGGATATCAGACTGTCAACAACACTGTTAGAGCCTGTCAGAATACATATGTTGGAAGCCGGGTGTGGTGATGCACGCCTGTAATCCCAGCACTCAGGAGGCTGAGGCAGGAGGATCCCTGCAAGTTTGAGACCAACCTGGGCTACACAGTGAGTTCCAGGTCAGTCTCAACTACATAGTGAGACTCTGTCTCCAAAAACCAAAAGAATACGTATCTTGCCACTTAACTCGGGCATTCTTAAAAAGCACTTGCCAATCGACTGTCTGAAGTTCCTAAGTTCACAAGTAATTTTTTAAACTGTGCTCACGTAGGCCTTCACACTCATGCTTACACATAGTGTAACACATATGGTAGTGGAAGAAGGAAACTTGGAGAGGCAGGTGAACATTTCAATGTACTATTTCAGCCAGCAGCTTCCCAAATGCCTGTGTTGACCTTTACGTTTTTACTCAGTGGTGTTTTGGAGCAGTACTCCCATCATGAGTAATTTAATCAAGATTTGCAAAAGCTCAGAAACCACCAGGTACTCTAAGGGCACTGAGAAGTCATAAAGTGGAAGAAGAGCTTTCCACAGTCTTATGAAATAGTAAAAAAAAAATTATATATTGTTTAGGATAGTGATAATTCTCTTTTTAATATTCTGAATCTAAAGAAATTGTTGTGTTGCATTGTGGCTTTTAGTAATCTTTAAGAGAAATGGGCTGGGGTCTTAGCTCAGTGGTGCTGACTCCTGCCTCATAAGCACAAGGTCCTGAGTTTGATAACCGGTACCAAAAAAAAAAATCTTTAAGAAAAATACTGTATAACATTTACTGCCTCCTTCTATACTTATCTTGATGTATGGATGAGAAGTGTATACAGCTGGCGATGAAGAGCAGGACAGGATACTGGATTCTGACAGTTTAAACCTAGTCTTCTTGTGCTTACTCATCAACACTTGACTTAATCTTTCCATAAAATTTAAGGGCTCAAAGAATGGCCAGACTGAAAAGAACCTTTTATTCCTCCATCCAATCAACAAATGTTTATTTGAAATCCTAGGAACACAGTAATGAATAAGATACTGTTCTTGTCCTCGGCAAGATTACAGTCCAGTGGAGAAAGTAAAACCAGTAACAAATTCCTGGAGAGGCAGATAGGCAACATGTTTGGGCAAAGGAATTTCCGTGCCCATCTGCGCAGATCTGAATCCTGCTCGCTCCCTGTAGAGCCATAGAAACTTAGGCATGTTATGCAAACGTCTTGAACTTCAGTCTCCTATAAAATGGGAAGAAGAATAATAGTATCTATCTTACAGTATTGTTTTAGAGATTAAATAACGTAATAATCACGAGGAAGGATATAGGATTGGGCTCTGTGGCTATTACTGTCGCGAGCCGCAACGTCAGAATCCTGCCAGCAGGTCCCAAACCCGAGGGAAGAACAACAGGAGAGCAGTTTCACGAACTCAGTTCCAGGCTCATGCTCTACCGCAGCAAGGCCCCGTTTATTTTTCAGGGTGGGGTATATATAGGCTAAAACCGAAACCAAAAGTGCAAACAGGATGTAGCTGACTGCAAAGGTCACAAGGTTCTACAAAACAAGTATTATGGGTTACATTTGCTAGGCAACAGGTCAGACCACCAGTTGAACTAGCCCGTTGCTATGGGCGACAGCACATCCGAGCCGGCGAGGTGACTCAAAGTTCAATCATGGCTAGGCCTAGGTCAAGGCTTACCATGGTGGCTCACCATATATTACCACTGAGAAAGGCCAATTTAAGTTGAGACCTGAAGGACTGGTACTCAGGTGGTAGGGAGAAGAAAAAAAATAATAATCCGCAAAGATACATAGAAAGGCCCAGTGTCAAGAGAGTGTAGACTCAAGGACTGAGAGACATTCCATGTAGTAGGTTGCAGAATGAGGGGAAGTTAGTAGTCAGAGGCTGGGAGATAACTGTAGAGACCAATTTGCGATGGACAATAGAGGGATATCCAAGGATCTGGCCTTTATCTTTCAAGTGTTGAAGAGACATTGGAGAGAGGGAAGGGCCAAGATGGGATCTGCATTCATAGCTCTGCCAGGCATGGTGACCTACGTCTGTAATCCCAGCACTCTCTCAGCACTGGGGAGGCTGAGGCAGGAGGATCACTGTGAGTTCAAGAAGACCAGCCTGGGCTACATAGTGAGTTCCAGGTCAGTCTCAACTAGTGAGACCCTGTCTCAAAAAAAAAAGAAAATAGCTCTGACCTCTGTGTGAGGAAGAGGAAGCGGACAGGGAGACAGACAAGAGATGAGGCAGCCTGAGCTAGGTCTGTGGCCGAGGTGAGGCTAAGAGGGCAGACTGTGAAAAGATGTACCTGGGAGGCACCATGGACTGACCAGTGCAGGTGACAGACTATACGGTGGGGAGTGGGGAGCAAAAAGATCATGGAGTGAATGGAAGATCTTGACCAGGAAGAGAACAGCAAAAAGCATGAAGTTAGGGGGAGAATTCAGTCGTGGACACATCAAGCTTAAGATGCCTGTAAATCAAGCTGTCCGTGTTTCCCATGCGGGAAAGATGTGACCCAAGAACTCAGTCTCGCTAGGAGAAAAATAACTACCTGTCCAGAACCTCAGGAGAGGACTTTTGATTCCTGATTGATCAAACTCAGAAATGCTGATTTGCCCTAATGAATTTTAGAAGAAATAGACGTGGGAACTAAAAGCTAGTTTATTAATTTGCGATTCAAATTAGTCATAACGCACCGCAGGGTCCCAGTGAACTTCATGCTCTGGGAAGAGCATCTCTCCAAACAGGAAAATACATGGGAGGCCACACTGCCTCCAACCAAACAGTAGGTTTGGTTGATGCTGTACTGGCTCCCTCCATCTCTCCGAGTGCATCCTGGTCAACAGCTGGGGGCTGGAAGTTTGCCTCCCCAACTCTCATTTTCTGAGAAGCCTTCGCCAATCACCCAATTTCAGCATCACAGGATGGAAGGACAGTGTGAAGCTCACTGTGGCCCCAGGACAATGAAAGAGGAAGAGAAGAGAAGTGGAATAGGAGGGAGGAGGGGCCGGAGGAGCAGGCTCTCCAGAGGCCAAGCTAAGGAGCGTGACTTTAATTACAGTGGAAGCCACTGGAAGGCTCGAAACAGAGGATAAGCACCCTCCAGTTTATGGAATACAGAGTCACCGTGTGTACGTGACAGAAGCCTATGAGGAAACAAGAGGAGGTGGGACCTGTCAAGAGAGACAGCAGTCGTAGGGGTGAAGTACGAGGGAGTGGTTTAGATCAGAATCAGAGTCAAGATGTTGAGAAGCCAGAAAGTAAGGACTATCGGAGACGACAAAAGAAACGTATCTTAGTTTCTAAAATGTGTGGACTTGTTTCCAGTAATTTCCTGTGTCATAGAAAGCTTGATGTTTCCCTCAAGCACTTGATTTTTACACGAATGACAACCCCTCCAAAGAAACTGGTTAGAATTATTTACATATGCATAGCAAAATAATGTAAGCAGGACCTGTACAATCTGTGTGTGGTTATAAGCCTCTTCTACAAATATCTTCAAGGTAAAAGGCAGCAAGGAATGAACAACTTGGCTAGAATGTTTTGTGAGAATCTCATGTAACTCCTTTTGTCTGTTTGCTGACTTACTAACCTTTCCCCGCTGACACCCTTGTTCCCCTCATTCAGGTATCAGAAAAGGGTAGCCCTGTACATCGCTGCCTTTTATGGCTACATTGAGCTCACTGAATGGGCCCTGAAGCAAGGCGTGCGCCCACATGAGGCTGTTGGTGTTCACCCCTGTCGAGTGTGGTGCTATGAAAGCCTTCATGCAGATGTCTCTAAATGCCCCATTCATGCAGCGGCAGAAGCTGGCCAACTGTTGATTCTGAAGGCCTTTGTCAACTGCAGCGTTCTGTGCCTGGAGTGCAAAACTGCAGCAGGACAAATTCCTCTGACCATCGCATTCAAGCACAAGCATAAAGACTGTGTATTATATTTGTTGAGTAAAATGTGGTCCACGGTTTCTTTTCTGAAAATTTCAGTCCCCATGAGGATTTATATTAAAATAAAGCAATGGATCCTCAGAGCTCAGAGTCACAGCCTTCATAAAAACCAGCTTTGCAAACCAAGGGTCTCTGGGGCAAAAGTTGGAGATACTGTGATGGTGGATGGTTTTACCACACCAAAAATGACCTCCAAGAGCTGGCATGAGACTGGGAATAAGCACTCACAAAGCATGTTGAGCAAGCTACCGCCTCTCAAGGAACACACTGCAAGCAAGAAACCCTTTGATTCTTTGACAATTTCACAGAGGGACACTAGGGAACCGATTCTCACGTTTCCTCCCCTAGGAGATGCAAATAAATTCTCTGACTTACAAAGATATCAACAACAATGTGAAAAAAAAATTACTGCCACAGCTAAGAAAAAAGAAGGGCATGTGAAAAATACATATCTCCCTCAAGTCCCCCTTCCTCCAGTTTCAAGAGTGGGGTACTCACACCCATCATTTTACTATGCAGCACCCAGTGCTGACTTCCTACTAAGGTCCTCTTTTGAATCTTTTTCTAAGCACAGTGGAAGGACTCCAAGGGAGAACGCAATCTACTGCTTAGCTGTGGCAAGGTAATGTCTCTCTCTCTCTCTCTCTCTCTCTCTCTCTCTCTCTCTCTCTTCAGTTTTTTTGAGACAGATTCTCACTATGTAGTTCACCAAACTCACTGTGTAGCCCAGGTTGGCCTCAAATTTCTAGCCATCCTCCCGCCTCAGCCTCTCAAACACTGGGATTATAGACCTATGCCACCACACCAAGCCAGTGTTTCCACTTTAAACATACAAGGGCAAAACTCTAATAAGACAGGTCTAGGTCTAGGGCAGAGATGATTCCTGGAAACCTACAATGCCATAAAGCAGTACAGGTTTGTTTTCATGCATCAGTATCGAGCCTCAAGGACCTTGTCGTAGCTCAGTTATCTAGAACAAAATAAACTGATACTATAGACCAAGCCAATCTGGGTAGTTGTCTATTCATCAAGCTTTCAAGAAAAAAAGTGAATCCTGAAAAAAAAAGTACTATCAATAAGTTCCATTACTGATGCTAATTTACTTTTTGAGGCTAACAAAAATTGTTAGTTACTTGTATAATTAAGAGTAGAACCGGGCGTGGTGGAGCATGCCTGTAATCCCAGCACTTGGGAGGCTGAGGCAGGAGGATCGCTGTAAGTTTAAGACCATCCTGGGCTGCATAGTGAGTTCCAGATCAGTCTCAACTACATAGTCAGACCCTGTCTCAAAAAAAAAAAAAATGTCATGAAGACTAGATAATAATGAAAGTGGAAGAAAAGAAAAGAATCATTTAATAATGAAGTGAACCGTAAAGACCTGATTTGACTTACTAGGCAAGATTTATGGGTGGGGAGGAGATTTATATTGGATAGAGTGCTCTGATTGACATTATGTGTTTCATGGCAGTCCACCATCATATTTGAAGGTTAAACAAGACATGAACTTTTCAGAAACATTCATTTCTATCAGTTAAATTTTGGTCATTAGAGATCACAGAAAACAGAACAGCCAGATTAGATCTTAGGTCCTACCCATTACCTAAGAAGTATTGTTGTATTAGAGAAGTATAGATTTATGAGTAGCCCCCCGCCATACAATGAGAACTAAGGCTTGATTGTTTTACTTGTCTTTTAGACTTTCATTTCAGCTCAACTCTATTTCAACTAGGTTGTTGCCATCTAGTGGTGAAAGGAACTTGGCTGTAAAATGCAGAATTTAACATCCGGCACGAGGTCGACAATAGATGAAAACATGGCCTAACAACATTAACACCTCAGTCTGTGGAAGACAGACTGTGGAGACATCTGTGACTGCAATGTATATATAAAAAAAAAATCATCTAAAATTCTAGAAAGCCACTATGAAAATAGTCAAAAATTGTGAGCCAGTTGTAGCGGTTACACCAGTGGTAGTGGTTATAATCCTAGCTAGCATTGAATGGCTGAGGCAGGAGGGTCATAAATTCAAGGCGAGCCTGGGATATATAGCAAGTTCAAGGCTAGCCTAGAATGCATAATAAAACGCTGTCTTGAAAAAATTAGTTTGCCTTAAAATCAAGCTATAAATACAAGAAAGGAAATCTGCTTTGTTACAACAGACAATGTTTAAAAATCAGCTTGTTTTACAAATATACAATAAGTACCTAGATGGCCCAGTGCAGGGATAGCAGAAGGGAAGCTTGGAAAAGTGTGTTTTTTGTTTGTTTTGAGGGTAGTAGAGGTCAAATCCAGGGTCCTAGGCTCTACCACTGAGCTATGTCTTCAGTCCAAATGTATGTGTTTTTAAAGTGGGCATATGTATAGTTTCATATGAAAAATGTCTATTGCGTGGAGTATTTCCTGGAGGAGTTATAAAATATACAGTAATGCATAGAAATATTAATGGCACATACAGCTTGTTGAGTTTTTACATTTGGTTACAGTATCCGTGTAACCATCACCAGATCAGATGCAAACTATTTCCAGCACTCCCCCCAAATTTTCTCCATATCGCCTGCCAATCTCTCCATAGGTTTAGTGATACTTTATTAGAGGGTGGTTTGTCCATGTTAGAGAATGTAGGTGTATGCTTGATTGGGAAGCCTATTTAATCCAGTCTAAAGAAGATCCTCTGAGGTGAAACTCTAGCAAACTCTTCCAAATAGCTTTGCAAAGAAGTTATAAATATGTCATAAGGGGAGGCAATTCAAGGTCAAACAGAAAATGGCTGTGGAAAACATTTTGTTAAAGAAAAGGGTTAGTGCAAAGGACAGACTAATGTGAGTGCTGGTTAATCTGACAGCGCACTTACCCCAAAGCTGTGACCAATAAATCTTATTTCTCTCTTTTCCCAGTATTTTCCTCTTCCCTCTATTCATACCTTCTACTTTTTCCCCATCTATCTTTTTTTTTTTTTT